GTTGCGCCAAAAAAAAAAAAAAAAAAAAACAAGTAAAACCGAAAAAAAAAATCAAAATAATAAAAATATGAAATGATATAAAGTAAATCCAATGGAATTGCTTTGAGGTCATTCTCCATTATGATTTTGTGTGTGTGTAAAAAGTCAATTAAGCCACATGCGCACTCTGCTGCGCAGGGGGTGCGGACGGAGGTGGTGCGCAGGTGGTGCAAATGCGTTGCCAAGTATTTGCCAAACTGCTGAAGTAAAGGCTGTCAACCACCACAGTGCACAAACACACACACACACACAGGGACAGACAATAGTTGACAGACATGAAGAAGAAGAAGAGGAGGCATTAGCAGAAGAAATCGGTGGTGCGGTGGTGCGGTTTCTGGAGAATGGAGACGTTGCCACCGGCGGTCGACAGTTGATGTCGATGTTGCTCGTGTTGGGAGTGTCGCCTCTGGCGGCTGCCTCGAATTCCACAGCGTAGCCAACAACAACAAGCAACAACAACAACAGGTAACAACCACGTTCAGTGTGGCGCAAAAGAGCGGCCCGAAAGAGGTTTACATAATCCAAGCGCGAATTATTTATGGGAATTATCGTGCGGGCTGCATTATCAAATGGATCATGCGGATCAAAGGCAGAATAAATGACAGCTACACAGACTAAAAGAGAGAGAGAGAGATAGAGAGAGAGTGACATGGGCATGCCTGTAACAGGTAGAAGCAACAGGCGAACAGGCGAAGAGACAACGGGATTCATTGCGGAATTTCGCCAATATAAATAGATTCCATTCGACTGTGGAATGATGTTGTATGACAGAAATCTGATGGTTACGAATGGAATGTTGAAAGGTAGAAAGAGAGAGAGAGAGAGAGAAAAGAGAGAGAGAGAGAGAAGAGAGAGAGAGAGAGCGAGATAGCGTATATGAGTGTATGAAAAAGCGTTATATTCAAAAATGGAGTGAGAGAGAGAGAGAGAGAGAGTGAGATTGAGTGTATGACAAAATAAAGAAATGGAGACAGAGATTAATGCTTACATATGTATTGAGAGAGACATAGAGAGAGAGAGAGAGAGAGAGGGAGAGATGCATATATAGTCTGAGAGTGTATAAGAATATGTATTGAGAGAGAGAGAGAGAGAGAGAGAGAGAGAGAGAGAGGGAGAGATGCATATATAGTCTGAGAGTGTATAAGAATATGTATTGAGAAAAAGAGAGAGAGAGAGAGAGAGAGAGAGAGAGAGAGAGGATGGAAGTAAATGAGAGGCAGATAGAAAGAGAGAGAGAGAGATTGGGTGAGCGATAATGGTTAATAGAGAGAGAGAGAGAGAGAGAGAGAGATTGGGTGAGCGATAATGGTTAATAGAGAGAGAGAGAGAGAGAGAGAGAGATTGGGTGAGCGATAATGGTTAATAGAGAGAGAGAGAGAGAGAGAGAGAGATTGGGTGAGCGATAATGGTTAATAGAGAGAGAGAGAGAGAGAGAGAGAGATTGGGTGAGCGATAATGGTTAATAGAGAGAGAGAGAGAGAGAGAGAGAGATTGGGTGAGCGATAATGG